AATTTATACAGAATGCCAAATAATTTGTGATCTTAAGCATTGCTACATTACTACACTACTAATGCTTTGATATATGGAAGCACTTTCTTCCAAAGGCTCCAACTCGCTCAGCTCAATCAGAATATTATTTGCAAAATCAATCTGAGGTTTTGCAGGATAGACTTACTGAATCTCTGAATTTGCAGAAACACCACTTTGTAAAATAAGAATAGATTGCTCTTTGACTTTCAATATTCAATTAACATATGGGCAGAGGGATTTCTGTGCACTTGTTGATGTTCATCAAATAGATAAGTCTGAATTGCCCCATATTTCAAAAAGGAATTTGCATTTGTTCTTGACTTGAACTCGAATTTAGAATCAAGCTCCGCCTAAGTATCTTAACTCTTAAGCTTAGAAATATTCAGTTAAACATTCTTCACCAATCAGTTTTGCTACTGCACATTAGTATTTTAGTATTTTGGAGAGTGATCACAACCTGTAAGAACAGTTTAAGAGAAGGAAGTCAAACTAATCCATGTATGATCTTATAATCTACATAAGTATGAGAGATTCCAGCAAATGTGCAGTGAAAACACACAGTAATAAGAAATCTGTTGGTTAGATGCTTCTACAGATATGAAAATGTTTTTTGCCTGGCCTGAAGAGTGAGCTTTCTGACTAATTTTGAGGAAATGAAAAAAAAGTTATGTCTTAATCATACTAGAAATAAGGTTAGACATTCGAAGAATTGTTCTGAATCTAAGTTGTTCCTAGCTTAATCTGGAGCTCTCAAGCTCAACAGAAGTCCCAAATATATGAATATAATAACTTCGCTCAGAAGAAGTGGGATCTGTCACTCACAGCTTCTAAGTAAGTCATCAGTGGTATTGGCAAATAAATTAGTCCAAGGTACTGTCCTGATTTTTATTTACTTTCCTTTCAAACTTGTTAGTAGTGAGATCATTTGGATGATGATGAGATTATCTTATCTGAGTTCTATCACCTGCAGGCAACCCTACCACTCCAGTGTAGCCTACCTCTGTTTTCCTTGCTATGATGTTACCTGGAACCTTCCTTGGACCATGACTTCCTCTCTGTGACAGAATTCCTGAGAATTTAATATTGTGGGTTCCTAGACATGATGTGGATTCTTAACAACAACTCTAATAATTTCTATATGAGAATTACCTTAGTTCAGCCTCTCTTTTTTCATATTAGGAATAAAATGTTATTTTTAAAAACTAAAAATTTGCAGATTCCATAAAAAAATTAATTTCCATTAGTCGTAAAATTCATTTATGTTCTCCAAATATGTTTGGGATTATTTAAATAGTAACCACTTTACAATCTTAAAATACACAGAGGTTTCACTTTGAATTCTGAGATCAATAAAAATTAACGATGTTTGGTGCCACTATAGCCCAGAAGCTTTTGAGACATAACAGTCACTAAAAAAGAAACTCAGAAGTTTACAGAAGGAAGTTTATTAATGCTGCCATATCTTACCAATGCAATTTGCTTATCAACTTCTCACCAAGCTTTTAATTTTCTAGAACAAATAAATATATCAGCACCATTAATTTCATTTTGGCCATTTTAAATGGCAAGATTAAAAACCAGGCTCAAACAGAAATCATTTGCAACTTTAACTACAGAGAGTGTATCATTAGAGTGTCCTCCAGGCAAAAGAGTCTGCCTTATATCAGCATGATGTATGATGTTAAATCCTTGGATTTCAGTTCACAGAGGAAGGTATGCCTCACTGCAGTGATGGGCCCAGAGACAAATGGGAGTTTAGTACGTGTTTCATTTTTAATTCTCCCCAGCAAGAATGTGAAACTGATAAAATAAAACTCTATTATGACTGGTAGAGTGGGATCTTCATTTTAAATTACCTCTTAATACATTAACTGGAGGAGAAACAAGATAACTTCATGACTTCATGTAGAAGTACTTGTTACTGTCCAAAGCTTGTCTAACAGCTTCTAATTGTTATGTCACTGTTGTTCCTGGAATTACACTTGGTCACTGCTATCTGCTATACAGTGAAAATGCCTGCTCTCTGAGGAAAGCTTTGGCCCACATGGGGTTTGTGCTTCTTTTGGGCTTTTTCTTTTTAAATCTGTATTCAAGCATCAGTGTATATGTTTTTTCATCACTGGCTGTCTTTAAATGCCCCTCCCTGTATCCTCTGCATTGCAGAAAATTGCTGTAGATCATATTGATTTTAACTGATGCTGGTGGATTGGTTTGCCTTAGTTCCCAGTATAAATTAGAGAAATGTCATCCTTTCCCTGCAAAATATTTGTCATAACATCTCTACAAACAAAAATACAGGAAGGATAACTTTTATGTCAGCGGTAATATCAGAAAACACACTATTCCTCTTATTGTATTTTTGTTGCTGCTTGTTGCCTCCATTTTTGTTATTCTTCTTATCCAGTTTCACATGAAACAGTTTCTTAATATGATAAGCCATGCCTAGTGATAAAGAATTCTGCATTTTAATTAGTTTTCTGTTTAAAATGTTAACACTTCAGCCTTTTGGGGTGAAAGTAATTCTCTTGTGGGTCTGCTGCAACACTTCATATCTTCTATTAGGAAAAGCACTGGTAACAGCTATATCTGTATCTTTTCAAAACCCAGTGAAATTAATTTGTAAGGCAGATGCACCACACAGACCTGTGTTGGACACCTGCTTTACCTTGAATTAATCTCAAAAGAACAGTTTCATTTATTCACAGGCTTCATTTTAGATGCTGTTTATCCTTGAAGAAATGAGCAACGTGGGAAGCCTGATGCCTCTCAGCATGTGAGACCGAATCAGACTGATCAGCCTGATTCTTTCCATAAGAGCAGACACATACATTTTAATTTTCTTTTCCAGTAGACCATGCAGAATGCATTATTTTTCTTTGGTTACATCAACCTCTTAAGTGACCATGAAAATCTTTTCCACATGTAATGTAAATAGCACCTGACTCATGTCAGACATATGGGGAAGGACACAGATTTCAAAATCCACTTTAAGCAGATGGCTAAACCTAATCTCTCTTCTTTGCTTTCTTTAATTTTTTTTTTCTTTACCTCAAAGTGCTAAAAAAAATAGTATCTCTGTGCATGTCAAGCCACCCTACTGTGAGTAAGTGAATATCAGCTCTGGCCCAAGGTCTCAGAACCAATAAACATCCCCTGAGATGTCTCTGGGATTTGATCTGCAAAGTTCCTCAAACTGTATCAGATGCTGACATAAGCAAACACCCTGCAGGACACATTTGTGACAGTACCATCTACCTTTTACATTGCAATTTCTGTCTGAAGTGGGATGAATTCTCTTTTCAGATTCACAAGGTCAAATCTCCATTTCCTAACCACAACTGGCAGCTACTCCTGAAGGTAGAATGAGGATGGAGGATGGTATCCTACTCTTCCCCACTGAAACAGTCTCATGGTGAGAAACTTGCTCCGATTTCTCTAGAACACAGTGTCAAAAACATTAAGTAAAACTATGTTTAGGGGATTCACTTGAGAGCAGAGACTTGTGTCCTGGTTTACTACAAGAAAATTATTTGTACATTTTTAATTAAATATAAATCAATTCTAGGAAAAGGAACTAGACCCAAACCCATCAATGGGTCACTTTTAACTGAGTGCCAAATTATTTTAAAAGTAAACATAACCATTATAAACCCTCCTTTCTCGCCCAGTGAGCTCTGAGAGACCTGTCTTCCTACACATAAAAATGGGCTCATCAAGGCTCGGAAACTCTCACTATATTTTCAAGTGAGATAAGAAAAGTTTAAATCTATGCAAAGCAACAAATGGAAATGCTCTCAATATATCAGTTGTTTATTTATGTAGGTGTATATATGCAAAGGTATGTGGCACTGCATTGCAGTGTACATTTATTCAGCTGGGAGGAAGGTAAGAGTTGATTCTGGGATCCTGTTAATATACCACATCAGTAGTCACAAGTTATACCTTTCCTCCTTCAGCCCTGCTGACTACTTTGTGTAGAGAAAATATTTCCCTCACAGTTTCTTCCAGAAAGAAATCATGAACACCTCTTCCAAGGCCGTGGAGCAAAAAGGACAAAGGTGCTGTGTAAATCCATTTGGAGATGTCTGAGACCAAAAAGAGGGGACCAAAACCTAATAAATGCTCTTGTTGTCAGTGTTTTGTCTCCAGCTCTAGGTCATTTTTCTCAGCATCATAATTGTTTTGGGTATGCTCTGACGGAACATTTGACAGGAAACTGGAGTTTCTCTGAAAGACTTTAAAACTCTTATTTTGGAGGGAGTTTTAACATTTGACTAGGGTCTTTGCAAGTCCAAAAAAAACCAGTTTTGATGAAAGAATATGATGATTTTCTGTAACAGCTAAGTTATAAAAACTTTTACCTATCTGTGTTAAATTTCTTCCATCATGATGAACAGAGGGAGAATGGATTTAGCAGTATCCAGTGTCCCTGCAGCACAGTGAGACTGCAGGAATTATTGCCAGTTTAGTTGGGCAGCTCCTGGCAGTTGATTAGTTTGGTTAGCATTTCCACAGCACTTACAGAAAAAAGGTAAGTCTGAATAAGCTGATTCATAAGCTTTGAGTCAGCCAGACTGACAGACACAATCACTTCAAGTTTTCCTAGTAGAAGGTCACCAAAGATATCAGGAAGCTCTGAATCTCACATGCTGTTAAATCCAAATCACTTTCTAGGTGTAGGACACAGCTCTGCTCAGCGAGACTGATTAAAATAAAAGCAAGTTTTTCTCCTGTTCTTTTTGTCTTTCTTATCCTTGTTTTCAGTCTATTTGGCATGAGAAAGGCCCATGCAGTTTTAAGAAAGTCTCCTTGACAGCACCTTGAAGAATGATCTAGTGTCTGCTTCTCTAGAGAATCTGCCATCTTCTCCTGCTGTGACAGAATTACTCCCTCTGGGGTTTCTGCCTCTTCCTCTCTCAGCTCCAGAAGTTTCTCCCTTCCACAAACTTTCAATATCTCCCCAGGAAAAGAAACCTCACCTGTCTAGGCAGCTCCTCCTGATGTCAAGAGCCATACAAAGGTGAGCCAGGGCTCTCCCCTGATGCCCAGACTCTGCCATGATGTCGAAGCAGATCATAAAGTATGCCTAGGATAAAACTCCCACAAAAAGTGAAGTACAATCCACAGCTCTTGGGTTGAAATACTGGCAATACACCAGCTTAACAATCTGTAATTGTCCCCTAGGGTTAAACTTGAACTTTTAAGACAATCTTAAAAGCAGCTAGTTGTTTACTTCAAATAACAACTATTCTTATTTGAAGCCTGAGTTGAGGCCATTCCTCATTGTATAATGTTGTCATGCCCTTTATTTGCAGAGGTTTTACTTTTTGGCTGAAATGCGAAGTCAGCACACCTTCATTCCCTAATGCTCTTCAATTCCTTAGTTCATTCATTAATTCCTTAATGCTCAAGTGCTACTCCTTTAAAAGTAAGGGCTTTGCTGCAGTCTGCTGGACAAGCACCAATTTGGGACTTGGAAAATTTTTCCTGACTCAACTGGAGTTTCTTCGTGACACAAAGTGATTATTTTCTGTCTCCAACTGCTCACGGGGCTCTCCCACTGAGGTTCCCAGTAAGCTGCTCTCCAGGGATGCTGGTAATTCCCCACAGCAGTGTAAATTTACAACACTCTTGTGAAAATGTGTGTGTGTGTGCCTGTCTGCAGCAGATATAACATCTAAAAGGTTGCCTTGGAGTAAGAGAGACCTGACAGAGCCAGTAAATCCTACTGCAAATTAGTTTTACAGAAGTAGAAGGGAAAAAATAGCTTTAAAATGTACAGAAAGTTCCAAGGAAAAGTATTCAGTCCTCACACAATTACCTTTTGGCTGACCTTTGCTAGATTTTGCTGAATGAATATTAATGAATCTCCAGCATAAAAGTAATTTAATGAGAAAAACTTACTTAACACAGTATTTGGGCCACTGGAAAGCTGATCTCAAGTTACCTAATAAACCTATTTGCTAAATTTTAGAGTAAAATGCAAATGTACATTTAATGCTAACGTATTATAGTGGGATTTTTATTACAGGTCATGCTAAATTGGGAGCTTTAAATTGAAACAGACTTCTTTTAAGAGATATTCAAAATATTTCATTCAAATCCCAATGGGATTTTCCTTTGGTTTACAAACATTGTACCCTGCAACCTTCATACTTTCTAATATTAGTTTCCTTTTCTCACACATTAAAACCAAAATCACAGTACCCCCAAAATAATTTTCCCCTCAAGATGTTCTTAGATGACTTTGTGCTACTGTTAAGTAGGAATTATCACTAATAATTTCTATCATGTTTTCATTGTATATTCTTTATGCTCTAATTACAAGAAGAACTAAGAGTTTACAGTTTAATGACAGCTAATGCTGGGTTTGCTCTGTTACAAAATCAGTGGCAGTGAAGGAAACACCAGTTATTCTGGTTATACCTCAGAACTGATCCAAAATACACAGCGTAAATTAATTGTGTCCTCCTGACTTCAAGAGGCCTTGAGAAGCTAATCAATAGCATCAATCACAATTGGGAAGGAATAGCCAAATCAGTTGCTGAATCAAGAAACAGCATTTAAAACATGTTTAGATGGTTACAGAAAAGTCAAACAATGCCAAGGAATTTCATAGATTAACATTTTGATGAGCTGTCTCCCTGTGGTAGCAAAACCATTCTTGTTGTTTTCTTTTCTTTATTTAGAAAATTAATCTTTAAAATTGGAATAAATATGCCTGCACTACATGGAGAAAGTGTAGGATTTAAAAGCTATTTTACAAGAAATCGCTGTGTGTTTAAAAACCGCAGAAACATTGTAGTTGAAGAATGGTAGTATTGCAGAAAAATAATGATATGTACTGACTTTACTGATAAGATCCTTTTTCAAGGCATTTTTTTGTGTATCCTCATATCCTCTCAGAACAATTGCAGGTTCTCAACCTCCATATTACTTTGCAGGATCAAAATCAAATTTATTCTTATCACGTAGATTGCATTCGAGTATTATAAACGAAAAAAAAAACCAGGCTTTTTAATCTACTTTAAAATAATGTATAAGCCACTCATGAACCTATATGAAATTGAAAAAACCACAATTTTTCATCTTAAATTCCAGAACCTGTATGATATCTCAGGTGGAAGTTTTGGTAAAATAACCCGCTGGATGATACCACTTAAAGTCATCAGCTAAATAGTCTTATTTTCTTAATCCAAATATGTTCATGTGGCTGACTTCTGCAGATTGCAGATCTGTGAAGAGATGAATAATTGCAGAATATTCCTCTCTTTGTTGGGTTTCAGTGTTATGCAAAAAATATTCCAAACAGTTTAAGCAGCTTCAGATCTGCCCTCAGTCAGGGCACACAGCCTGACAGTCAGGCAGAGACACCTCTCTCTTTAGCCAAGTAGTACACTCACAGAAAGCACACATTTTCCAGAAGTTTGTGCAAATATGTTGAGTTTTACTCTTCAGGAAAGATTAATAAGTGCCAGTATTTTGAAATCATAATTTTCTGATATCTATTTTGCCTTCCTTCGTTTTTCAGATTGTTTTTACAATTTCCAGATCTACATTGTACAACTTTATCATCTTGTTACTCCTTATTTTCATACAATATCATTACTCATGGAAGTAATCATGTAGCTGATATGAGGAACAAGATATAATACTGGGAATTCAGCAGTCTAAAAAATACAACTTAGAGTGGATCTTCTGAAAGTTCACATTAGTGTGGGTTCCTGAGATAATGTTATGTAAAGGTTATCAGTAAAAAGTAATGTTTCAAATTATTTTTTCTTATGTTTCTCCACAAGGAAAGATGATCATCATTCAGAACAGGGACTTGGAAGGTGCCCAATACTGCCAGGGCAAAGTCCAAAATTATCCATCTTAGCCTGCTTCCATGAGACACTGAGGACATCAGTACAGATAACCCCTGTCAATGATTTGGGGATCATTAAATGGACATCAGGAATTCCTTGTCTTTGTAGAAGAGCACATTTTCTGCTGAAATGTCTTAGATTATTAGATTCAGGAAATTAGCGCAAATATATCCTCTACTTGACAAAGAAATGAGAAAAGAAATAAAATGGTCCATGTCCCCCACTTTCAAAGGAAGGACCCAGACTCTGAAAGTGCTTATAAAAACATGTCAGTGTGGCTATGAAGTGCTGCAGGAACTGCATTTGCTGCCCCTTTCACCTGGATCAAAACCTGGTAGATCTTCTAGAAGTGGTTTACTAAATAAGAAAATGACTAGCTACTAGTTATTTACTAGTGGTTGAAAAGATTGACAGTAGAGAGCTTGACAGTCAAATCAATTTTATCCAAGTCTTCATTAAAAGAATTTTCTGAGACATGGTGTTCCGTCTGATAATAAACAAATTATAGTAGTTTCTGCAGTTTCCACAAGACCAGATCAAATTCAACACGCATTCAGCCATGGATACAAAAGAATTTGATACAGGCAAAGGGAAAAAAAGAAGTTTTAAAATCTTACAATAGAAGTGAAATGAAAAAATAACATCCTTGTGGATAAAATGATAATGTGGAGTGGGAAATACAAGGAAAGCAGAAGAAAAGCTGAAGCTAATTTTCTAAACTAATTAAATACGAAGAGAGTGTAAGGGAGAAGGCTTCTAAGAGACTCAGCATGATTTTATAGAGACATATTCCCAAATGCTATGGTTTATCACCTGATATTTCTGGATTAAATATGTTCAAGAGGATCTTTACTTCTCTAGACTGCTCAGCTCATAAGAGGGGCAGCATAAAGGAGAGTTGCACTTCTGCTTCCTCATGACTAGAGGACCTACCTTTCAACTCTGAGATCTTTTCTGTCACTGAAAGGAAAAATAATACTTCATAATGGGATTTGTTCAGCTGACCCTTAGTCACCTTACTCATCCATTTGGATGGCTGAGATGGTGCTGGAAGAGAGCTGAGGTTTGAGCAGTGAACAAGTGTTACACATGACAATGGGCCAGACTCATATTTATCCCATGGCTTGGGTTGACAAGAGAAGCAGTTTGGGCAAGTGACCTCAGTAAATACCGTAGCATCATGAGAGCAAGCAGAAATAGGATGGCTCAGAATAACATCCTCAGTTTAGTTATAGCTAAGCTTAAGAGCTTTTATTCACTTTTGTATTATGAGACTGAAACAAGAGAAAGTTTTTGAGATTCTTGTTAGGTAAGAATCTATTGCAAGCTTTTCAAAAAGTTATGTACTATTATGACACCAAAATCATAACTTTTCTAAGTAGATATACTTGGATTTGATTTCTCTGCTGAGTGGATTTCAGTGAAACTAAGATTGAGTACTTAGTTTCACATACTTCAGCTCACAGTCATCTAGGAACTGAAGTGATGAAACTGTCAGTAAGGAGTCATTTTGTTCTTCAAGAGTCACAACTCATTACTAATGTCATCATCTCAGAGACCAATCCTCCTTCAGGAACTAATACTAAGCTAGGACCACGATGGAGAACAAATTCTCTTGGTACATGAGAAAATGACTCAGCATAGCTCCTGCTCCAAGCCTGCTCTGCATGGCTCACAGCTCTGTGACACAGGAATTAAAAAAACTCTTCATTTACAAACGAAAACATTTGGAATTATGTTCAACAGGGTCACACAGAGATAACAACAGCACTTTTACAGTGTGCATTTAGGAATAGGGATCTCAGAAACAGAATCTCAGAACAGGGTATGTGACTGCTGCTGCAGTGACTGTAATGCTTTCTAGCATGACTTGTTCCAATTTCTTCTTCCATCTTGAGTAAGTATTCATAAGGGAGGAAATGAGAATGATGTAACAGGTTACACACTCACACTCTTATTGAGAAGGTAGAACAAGCAGCTGTCAGTTCCTATTAAAATAATTATACAAAGTAGAATGTCTGACGGGGTAAAGAGACACCCACACAGTACGACATGTAGAACATGCATCAGGCAGGCAGAAGGTGAAGAAGTGATGTTTCTTGAGGGAGGATTTGAATGTAAGCCTCCCATATATTGTGTAAGCGTCCAGACTACTCACTGAGGGCAATGTTCCTGGCCAGTTCTGCAACTGGTGCTTA